CTGTGAGTTCATTCATCCGAGATTAGGACTCATAGACCTTGATAGATCATGATCTCCTTAAGCCATGAAGCATCTACTCTTTTTCCTTTGTGTGGTTTTGTCCCATTGGGTTTTTCTATACAAAAGGTTTTAACGAGGGATGTTTTCATGGTTCCAAGCTTTACCATAAGGCATGGCAAAGCTTGAGGGGGAGTATTGAGTTAAATAAATAAATAAACTAGTTATTCTAGCTTCTCTAGTAAGCCAAGTGTGTTTGGTTACTAGAATAAGATTGTTCTCTCTCCTTATAACTCATTGTAACGTTATTTTTCAGATCTAAGGGAAAAAGTTTCTCCTTCTTTACTCTTTTCTCTCATCTCTCTCTTGTTCTTCATTCTCAAAGCTTCACTTTCTTACACTGCGTACGATGAAACAGAGGGCTCCTTAAAATTTAGGCTCTCCTCTTAAAGTACTCAACGAGCCTGTTAAAGAGTCCATACCTCAGGTTTTGAATGTACTTCCTTTTCTTATTTCCTTTGATATGTTCTAACGATGTCTTTTATTTATGATGGGTGTAGTTTTATTTTCAAAATGGTCGCCAATCTCCAAGTGAGATTAAAGAGGAATGTATGTTTAGAGTCAACCACTTTTTCTATGGCCATATGGATGGACTGCAAATACAAGGTAACATAATCATTAGTTTTATAATGTCTAATCTGAAACTTATACAGATATGCCTCATTAACTTTAACCCTTTTCAATACCCAGAATTCAAATTAGTCACCAGAGAAATCTGCAAGCTCCCATCTTTCTTTCTATAGGGTCGATTTTTCATAGAAGTGTTATATATGTGGATTGGGTGACTATCAGAAGCTGTTTGTCATCCCCAATCTTCAAGGCTCCATCTGGCTTAGTAAACGATATAGATCATCCTGTGGGATCTCATTTAAAGCTTGCAAATGGATGCTGGAATATTGATGATGTGAAGAACAGCTTGCACAAGATGCGTAAGCTACATAAACTTTTACCTAATTGTCACTAGGTTGGTATATTACTCTCTCTTTATTTATATATTGTATGTAACTATCTATCATGTGTCTATATAGCTCCATATTTCAAGGAAGCTTGCTTTAAGTTGAGTTTTCTAATTACTAGTGGTGTGTGCTTTGTTTTCGATTTGCTGGAGGACACATTTTCTGTTCTAGATAAGGCCATTGAGTATATGAAAGATCTTCAACTTCAACTCCAGGTCTATATGATACTTACTTCATATATTCAGTA